TATCACTCTATTCAGCAAAACTCTCAATACCTTATGGGAAAACAAGCTTAAGAAAACATGCTCTACTAATGACTTTCCCCTATCTGCGTTGTCATATCCTCATGAATATATTATTATTTTGTTGAAAAAATGTGTTGGATAAAAAGTATAATTAGGTTCAAGATAAATGGAAGTTCATTTTAATTAGTAAGAAAACTTGGATGGATACTTGTTCTTTTCTCGATTTTGGATCATATTTTTTGACAGCAACGCTAAGCAATAAGGCATGAAACTAGCTACGTAAGTGTTGTTGGCTTCAATGTTTTTTTTCCCGTGCCTACCAACCCTATCTTTGTTTTGTTTAGCCCCGACTTGTGTTTCACTTGTACCAACTACCTCACGTGTAAAGTGGATTAGGCAATAGGAGTTCAGTAGCACCTCTCTCACGTGCTTGTTGCTACCAGCACCGGTGCCTACCGCCTACCTAGTGGTTGCCCTGGGCTGATGTCGGCCTCCTAGTGATACCTACTAGTAACCATGGATCTTTCCAAATTCAAAGTGTTTTTACATTCCTGATCATCCAAATAATCTCTTGCTTTAACACTTTTCTTTACGAATGCTCCTCCATGAATAAGACATACCTCACACTTGTCTAGCCTCCAGCACTGAATAAAATTCTTGGCATTAGCACATAGTGAATCCGGTTGCTGCAGTAATTTCCAACCTTGTCTGGCAAGCATGCTGAGGTTGAAGCCGTACAAACCATCTCCACTCATCTGTTTCCTCATTCTGCCCAGCCCCATGACACCTAGTGCATCTTGTTCTATTTATTTTCTAGCTCCTTCAATATCGTCTAATCATGATATTAATTTCTTCACACTACCGTTTGGTTAGAAGATGTCACTTTTGCCTACACATCACATGTAGTGCACGATAGACATTTCCCTCAGTTGGTAAAATGTTATAGCTTTAATCCTTATCTCCTTCCCCTCCTTTGGTGGCATGCATCTCCTTTTTCCACCCCTTTACGCTTTGCTAAATTCTTTCTTTGATATAAGCAAAGGTTCTCGTTTTCTTTATTGATAAGTGTATAGTGGAAGTCCCAAGTACTTATCAGATCTAGCATTATAGTACCATTACTTGAGATTTACCGGTCTGACTTAAGTTCTTGCTGAACATAATGGCTGTGTTTCCTTGTTTATTGCTTGGCCTGAACATTTCTCATACACCTCAAGGATATGTTCTAAATTATGTGCATTCAACTTCAGCAAAATAAGTCAACATAGCAGATGTGTGACTTAAGGTTGCAAACAAACAACTTGGTGTATTGTACCCTCCCTTTTCACCAACAATTAGCAAGGATAAAAACCATATGCATATATCAAGAATAGGTATGGAAAGAGAGGATCTCCCTGCATTAAACATCTAGAGGGGATCATAGACTCTGCCAATTCTCCATTCACCTTTATTATATGTGACTACAATGACATATAGTTCATTTGGAAGCTTAGAATTTCGTTGAAAATCAAGATCTTCCATTGGTACCTAAAGAGAGGGTCATTTTGACCAAACATAATCTAGCAAAAAGAAAGTAGAAGGGTAGCATTAAATATTGCTTTTGTAATTCTAATGAAATAATACAACACCTCTATTTTTTTATTATCGTTTGGTAAAATGTGTATGGAATATTGTCCTTATAGCCTGTGGGATTGATCAATTGCTTGCTATTGTTGTTAATCTTTTTGGTAGTTGGAACTAGGCTAGAATACCAAATTTTTGTGGACGTTGCGGCTTTATGTTGGGCAGTATGGTTAACTAGAGATAGTGTGGTCTTTAATGGCTCCAAAACTAATTTATTTTTACAGGTGATCTTCAAGAAGACATACTGGGCACGCTAGTGGTGATCGTTGCTTAAAGAAAAGGATGGTCACCAGTTGAAAAGGAGTGCTGAAAAATGTTGGAAGCAAGGGTCAGAGAGATTTATGCAAAGGTTTGGGGTGGGACTTTAGAAGGAGATTGGAAGCATAGTCTTGTTGTCTCTTTTGTTGGGTGTTGTCTATGGTACTTTGTTGAAACCTTATTGTGACGAGTTTGGGTTTATATGTTTCATGACCGTATACATGTGTTTTGGATGTAGAGGCCGGTTTTAATCCATTTTCTAAAAAGAAATATGGCCGTTGTTGAAAATTTGATCATAATTCAACATATTTTAATCCAGAAAAATAAGATAATAAACATGACATGTGTAATAGGAATTGATCTACTAAAAGTGCTAAACATGTACATGCTAATAACTAGAAAAGCATCATCGAGAAACATGTTTTAACGCTATAGTGAAGAAGGAAACATACCCGGAGAACGCTTTGGTACTAGATGAGGCATTATTGGTGTTGTTGCCTCCGTTGATGTTGACGTTCTCACCTTCTCCAGTGTCCTTGCCGCCACCTCCACCAGCGCCTCCACCAATAGATATGTTGAAGTAGTGGAAGTAGACGAAGCAGAGTAGGGAGTCGATGTAGAGGAAGAAGACAATACCGTGGAGAACCGATGCAGAGCAGTCGCGCTCCCAAAAACTTGATTGCCGCCTACCCGTGCATGTACTTAAGCGGACGGAGTTTCGAAGGCCTGCTCGTCCCAATCACTCATGCGCGCAAGTGTTCGTTACTGGGGAAGCAGAATCTTAGCGCATGAACAGAAGAATCAGGATGTGCCGAGGAGAATCAGTGCAGGAGAGAAGAAGAGAAGAGAGCAGAGAAGTGCATCCTCTGTCTGTCCCGGTGGTGGGATTATATAGTGCGCGAGAGGGAGAGAAATCAATCCGTCTGTTACTGGAGTAATAACGGAATCAATCTGATAATTAAATTGGGATTGATTCGTTCTTCCGTTACAGAAGTAACAGTGCCGATTCAATTCGTGTCCATTGCAAAACATAGGGCCTGTTTGGTATAGCTCCAACTCCTAAATTTAACTCCAAGAGTTGAGTCTGGAGTGGAGTTGTGGAGCTGCCTAAACCCAGCTCCACAACTCTAGTTCATTTTGTGAGAGAGCTCCACCCAGCTCCACTCCCAGTTTTGGTGGAGCCGAAACTGTTTGGCTGAGCTCCAGCTCCAGAAGGGGTGAAGCTGGAGCTGGAGCTGTGCCAAACAGGCCCATAATGAGAGAGAGAGAGAGAGAAAGAGAGAGAGAGAGAGCGCGCGTGCAACAACTACCACGCCCTGGCCGGCTCGACGCGCGGGTGGCATTCCCACCAAGCCACCACCACCTTAACCGCTCAACAAGCGCTCTCGAATAGTAACACATTCCAAAATTTCGGTGCAACTAACACTTTATGTTGAGATTCCTTTAACATTAATTGTTGGCTTTTGGAATTTATTAGGATTAAGAATTTATTAGGATTAAATTGGGCCTAGTGCATTTAATCTAAAAATTTGAATGACATGCTACATGATAAAATCAGGGTTTTCAATTTCAGTTGGAAATTTCGCTCCCCTCTAGCAACTAAAAATGTTGCACAAGATTTTTGGTTTTCTGCAAACTTTTTTGAATATTGGTCAAAATTTATTAAATTTTCAAATGATTTTGGGTAAAAAAGTTCAAAAATTCCCAAAAGTGTTAGTTGCACCGAAATTCCAAAATTTCTGTGCAAATCGAAATTGAAAACCCTGGATGAGATCAACCCAACGTGGAAAGAGGACTAGTCCGGGTAACATTGCTTAAGAAAATAATCGAATCCACCCTATTATAAGCCCTGTTCATGTGCTTTATTGATGGAAAAATCTTTTACTTTTGGTATGAACAATTGTAGCTTCATTCCAGCTTGATAGCATCTTCAAAGCTTGCATCACTTCATGAGTCAACTGATCCCGGCACCAAAAGGATATAAAAATATGACAAGCATTCCATCCTGGCTTAGATTTTTTTTTCCTCACAAATGCTCCAAAGTTCTGTTGTTTTCAGTGTAATCGTTCCAGTTGATTATGTTATCTTTTTATGTCTAACAAATTATTTGCTCCATGATTAAAAAGGTATTTTCTCAAGACTTTCTTTAGTTATACTGCTTAGACTTGTTTTAAGCTAATTATTAAGTTTCTATACTCTTTTTTTTTTTATAAAAAAATGATGGTGGCAATAAATCTGCCAATCACCAACTCTATTTTCTTACCAACTACTGTACGTACTTTAATGTTGTAAAAAAATATCCTTTTACAAATTTTTAATATCTTATTTCATCTCTATGATTTAAGTTTATCATGTAAAGACCTCTATAGAGAACTGGGAATGAAATTGTTCTTAAAAACCTTATAATTAACTTGTTCCAAACATAAGTTTACCACATGTATAATTCAACTTTCCAGTAGCAAACTACGGGTATTTAGCTAGTATTTTTTAAAATATTTAATTTATCTTTATAATGAACCAAATGACCGTAACAATAATCCGCTTAATAATTTTTTCAACTTACCCCTCTTGTTTTTATCGAGGGAATAGCCTCTCATGTTTTGTGAGAGCAAATTTTCATTGTCGACGATGGCCATTGGAGGTAAGCAACTGGCTGTGTTCGGCGGCCTGTGTTCTCAACTCCTATCCTTCGTGTTCCACGCGCATGTTTTTTAAATTGCTAAACGGTACGTATTTTATAAAAAATTTCTATACGAAAGTTTCTTTAAACAATCATATTGATCATTTTTTTTAAATAGCTAATACTTAATTAATCACGTAGTAATAAATCGCTCTGTTTTTCATGCACTGGATATTTGTTCCCTTCTCTTAACGAACACAGCCAAGCATCCCTTGCTTTGGATACTCCCGGTACGGCAATATTCGAATGTCAACGACTCCACGAGCTCTGCGAATGAAGCGACGGCCCAGATCCGCCCGATCTCACGCGAAGCCATCTCCCCACCGTCCATTTCGTACCGGAATCCCTCTCCGCGCCTCCTTCCCGTCCATTTTGCAGAAACCACCCCGAACCCAAAACCCAAAACTTAAAAAAGAGAAGAAAAAACAAAGTTGTCAAATATCCCATCCGCTTCATTTCTCCCACGCTCTGAAATTTGAAATCGCAGACGAGGCGAGACGAAGACGAAGAGGAAGAGCAAGAGCTAGGGTTAGGAGGAGGCGATTTGCTCCGCCCGCAGATCGGGGGCGCCACCTCGTCTCGCCCCCGATCTCGCACCGCCCGCCGCCTCCACCTCTGCCGCGCCGAATCTCTCAGTTGGAGCCGCCGCCGCCGCCGCCGTGGGCCGGTGGTCGGTGCGCCGCAAATCGCGCCGCTGCCGTGGCCGTCGGGCTCCCACCCGCAGATCCAGCATCCAGGAATCGTGCGGCTGGGGACGGCGCTCCGCGGGACCAGGGCGGCCAGGGTCGCCGTCGCCAGGGCGATTGGTATGTATATCTGCTTGCTTGCTTGATTGTTGTTTGGGATGTCCGCTTCGAATTTGGAGCTGGAGGAGGAGGAGGAGGAGGAGGATGCTTTATAGATATGTGTGATGAATTTGTCTCAGTGAGATCTGTATATTATACATTTTTGTTCGGTAAATTCCATGGCAAAAATCAAACTCTCTTTGGTACTAAATAAAGCTGAAATTCAGACAATGCAAGCATTAGAGGTCCATATGGCAGTGCATATCACCCACACCCACCCACACACAAACCATTAGGGTGTGAAATTAGCTTCTTTGGTAGCTCGGAGGGTAGAATGAGCCAACAAATAGTTTTGCTGGTTAATTGATCCTGCAGAATAGTTTTAGAAAAGCAAAGATGGACTATTTTTTTTCCCAATCTATAAGTTGTACGCTTGGCTGGATATCAATCGATTGCCTCCATATACATGATACATCTGTGTGAATGATGCAATTTTTAGTTTTTACGAAAGATGTACAGTGAAGGGATGGTGTACTGGTGTAGATACACTATCACCTCGGCTCCTTCTTTTTGATAGAAGATTGTAAAATCCATCTTTTTAAGAAAGCCAAAGTGACATGAGTTCTACTCCCCATTCCTTTTAAATGAGTAAATTAATGTCCTTATGAGTGTAGTCAATGCCCTCTATGCATTCCTGAACACTTCTATTGTTACATCTTGTGACAAGAACTTCATTCCTCCATTTCTATTGCAGCCTATGATCGCTTATTCCTTGAAGCAACTCCCTGAAGGCCTTACTCAGGCTTGACCGTATAATGATTTTTATATCCCTTAGAGGTTTCTATTGCAAAGTGAGGATTGAATGTCTTCAGTCATGATGACAAGCGACAACGGAAAGGCTCCAGAGAAGGGTGGAGAAGCTTCTGGACCTTCATCAGCTCCCCAAGAAGGTGAAATCAGCAATGAACCACAAAGGCGCCGGCCGCTCAGTGGGTAAAATTCTAAGCTCTTCTAACCATGCTAATGTATATTCTACTAAATTTTATTATGCTTCTTTGTCCTTGTAACTTTAGGAGGACCACTGGTCCAACACGGCGTTCCACGAAAGGAAATTGGACCCCTGAAGAGGTATAACATGTGAATGTCAGCTTGTGTTTCTGTTGATGAAGAGTCCTTTCATGTACACATAATTAAATGATGATTGAAAAATCTTGTTTTATGTAACTGTGAAACATCTAATGTGTTTACTGGTAAAGACTGGACTTGTTTAATATGAAAAAAATATTTCACTTCATTTGGTGTTTTATTCCTCCTACAAACAAAGTTGAATCTGATAATTTACTAATTTCTCTAGCATCCAAGGGAGCCATGGGCAACTTTAACTCTTTAAAAGTCAACAAATGCATGTATTCTGAGGCGAATCATAAACTTCACTTTTCTACCTTGGGATTACCTTCTTTGTTCTGTTTCTGTCATATAGTCATGTGCAATTCTGTTCTAGTTCCATGCTTTGTACAAAATTGTAACAGCAGCATTTTGGTTCTATTTTGTATGTCTCAATGAAATGTGAGCCAAGATCCATATTATCATCCACACAATGCAAAATTTCAAATTTCTTAGATGCATATTTTTTTTTGTGCTTATTATCTACTTACACTGTTTAACGTTGCACTTATGTGCTATTCAAATGTAGGATTCCATATTGTCCAGAGCTGTTCAGACATATAAAGGGAAGAATTGGAAAAAAATAGGTACGTTCTTTGGATTGATGCTTATATGTGGAAAGTCATGCAATGATTCTATTTTTCTATTTGCTTAGTCCTACTCTTTACCTTAGTCCTTACTCTTGCCCGGCGAGTCCTTACTCTTTATCATTGCATTTCTACAATATCCTTTAGCTGTCATACTTTTCTTTTTCTTTATCTTCAATATAGTTATTTTTTTTATGATGGAACATATAAACGAAAGAGCCTTCTAAAATCCAATCCCCACCCATTGCACTATTTTTTTGAGAGAGGAAATAACATAGGGAAGCACCTTCAAAAGTGTGTCCTTTGGTATCTACATTACTCTACATTTTATAGCCTACTCCCTCCGTTTCAGGTTATAAGACATTTTGACTTTGGTCAAAGTCAAACTATTTTAAGTTTGACTAATTTTATAGAAAAAAGTAGTAATATTTTTAACCCAAGACCAATGTATTATGAAAATTTATTCAATTATAGATTTAATGAAACTATGCTGGCATTGTAAATATTACTACATTTTTCTATAGAGTTAGTCAAATTTAGATTAGTTTGACTTTGACCAAAGTCAAAAAGTCTTATAACCTGAAATAGAGGGTGTATTATGCATGTCTGCTTCCCTTTGGTTTTTCTTTTGGTCACATTTGCTCTTTGATTACATACTGTTGTACGGCAATGCATGTCAGGTTGTAACAGGAACAATATATTATTTCACAATATTATCCACTATCCAGGGTTTACAATTCATTTTTACCATATTGTTCTCAAGCCTCTTTTGTCCTACAATTGTTTAGTGCAGTAGGATATCATAAACCATGCAGCATATTTTATATTTTTTCTTCGATGTTATGGGAACTCGTGTGCAGGAAAGCATTGTGCTGTTTCATTAACTTACACTCAAGTCATGCTCTTCTGGCATTGTTTTTCCTACTTTGTTGATGAGATTCTTGTATATCGTTAAAAATCCAAGCTTTGACAGAGATCCTTCTAATTTTCCAGCGGAATGTTTTCCGGATAGAACCGATGTACAATGCTTGCACAGGTGGCAAAAGGTTCTAAACCCTGAATTGGTCAAAGGGCCATGGTCCAAAGAAGTAGGATGCTATTCCATTTATTTTCATTTCTTAGATAGTATTGATTAGTCATAATACGCTCACAATGACTTGTTCCCTTTTTCAGGAAGATGACATCATTGTTCAGATGGTAAACAAACTTGGACCAAAGAAATGGTCAACCATTGCTCAAGCTTTGCCTGGACGTATAGGAAAGCAATGTCGGGAACGGTAATGCTATGAAAATTACTTATTCATTTTATTTTATTTCATCTAGCTTGCACTGAAGAAAAATGATATAACAAGAAGTTTTGTGGGGCTCAACAGAGCAACTTCTTTGTGCTAGCAACAACTGATTTCTTCTAGCCCGTTGTTCTGCTGGTGAATGCAGGTTTTCTTTGGACATAGTTTTCGCATAGACCATATATGTTGTACAATGATGTCTGGCAAAACATGTGTTAGATTGTTAATAAGATTTATTTTCACAATGCAGTATTTTGTAAACTATGCTAATTTATTTCTTAATGTGCATGCCATTATTTTTAATCGAGTATCATTACTGTGGATTCTACGTCTTAAAGATGGACTATCTAATCTGCATTTAGGTGGCACAACCATCTTAACCCTGGCATAAACAAGGAGGCATGGACACAAGAAGAGGAAATTACCCTCATACATGCTCATCGAATGTATGGAAATAAATGGGCTGAGCTGACAAAATTTTTACCAGGAAGGTAATGATTTTTATTTTTAACCTAAGAGCTGTTTGCAGACCTCTAGTTTTGATCTGATATTGTCATGATGACTGCTATTATGGGGGAAATCTTTCCTCTAATTTTTGTTCCAAATTCTATTTTTTTTTCTGTGGTAAGTTCCCAAACTGTTTAGCTCAGCATTCTTTCCACCTTCCTTTCAGACATCATTTGGAATCTATGGTGTTGTATAAATTTAGGGAAGATGGTAACCTAAAAAAGAAACTTAAATCGTTTTTGCTTTGGGAGAATAGAATGAGGACGCGGGTCCATACTTCCACCGAATGTGAAATAGAGATGCCACTGCTTAACTGCAATATCGTTCCTTTATTTTCAGCAAGCGAAATTTAAAATCAATCTGTTATTTTCTATGAAGTGAAAATAGATGCGAAATTTATGTTTTACTGCCATTTTGACACATCTATTGATGTTTAACATTCTTGTCTTCTCTAAATGTTTATGACCTAATGCACAATGATCTATATGTACTTCTGCTCAATTAACGCTTGTTATTATAAAAATATGCCCTTTTTGGACTACTGAAATGATTGAACCTGTAACATTCTATTTCCCTTATCAGGACGGACAATGCAATTAAAAATCACTGGAACAGTTCAGTAAAGAAGAAAGTCGACTCATACATGTCATCAGGTTTACTTACCCAAGTCTCGTGTCTCCCTCTAAATGAATACTCTGCACACTGTAATTCCTCACCTGCGTTGACCCAACAAAACAGCGAAGACAGTGGTAGCTATGCTGTTCGAGAGGTTGAAAATTCATCAGTGTGTAGTCAATCATCACTTGCCAAGGTTTCTTGCTCCCAAGTGCACAATGCTAATGTGGCATTGGGCTGTGATTTGCAAGTAAATGCGAATGTTGACAATAATGAAGCGCATGATTCTCAATCTTCTGTGGGTCACGAAGCATGCTATACTTCTGTGGGGGCTGTTGCAACTGCTATACCTGAGGTGCACTACCACGTTTCTTCCTCTAACTTCGATCCAGATCAACACTTGCAAGAGGAGTTTGCTCAAGGATTGAATTTGCATATGAGTATGGATGAAGTGCCAAGTAATTCTAGTTTTGCAGACAACCCAACTATCTGTAGTATAGAAAATCATGAAAGGTCATTGGAACCATATGATGTAGCAATGGAGATGCCTCTCTCTATGTTACCAAGTGATTCTGGAGCTGAGCAAAAACTACATTTTATGTCGGAGGCTGACTTCAATAGTCCTAATTGTCTGAAATCTGAACTTTGGCAGGATATTTCCTTGCAAAGCCTTCTTTCTGGACCTGATGCAGTTGAAACTGATTCTTTTTCAAGATCAAATCATCAATCGGATGTATATTCCTCTCAAGCAGATAATGAATTTTTAGCACCACCCTACCTATTACAGACATCAAATTCTTCCAGTGTGATGGAGGCTACTTATGGACAGAGTCCACAGATGTCAGTACCACCATCTCTTATCTGTTCAAATGTTATGACTGATGTACCTTCTGATAATAGATCAGAACCAAAAGAAATGACAGTTTCTCAGGCAGAAATGGTCACACAATCTTCCAGTTCTTCAGGTGACGCTGAAATGTCTGCTAACCCTGGTAGTAGTAATGGCAGTGATATTCCTTCAATGATGGAAAGGATACCTGAATGTGCGGACCAACATGTTACTAATGCGGAAGAACCTGAAGCCAGTATAGAGAAAGAACCATCGGTTACACCGAGTGCTACAGCAGATGAAAAGCAGGATGAGGGAGCCCTATTCTATGAACCTCCTCGTTTTCCAAGCATGGATGTTCCATTTGTCAGTTGCGACCTTGTAACTTCTGGTGATCTCCAAGAGTATAGTCCCCTTGGTATTCGGCAGTTAATGCGGTCGACCATGAATGTCTGCACTCCAATGAGATTGTGGGGCTCCCCTACACATGATGAAAGCCCTGACATTTTGCTGAAGAGTGCTGCCAAAAGCTTCATATGCACACCATCAATACTAAAGAAACGTCACAGAGACCTCGTGTCTCCTATTCCGGATAAAAGAATCGAGAAGAAATCTGGGACTGAAAAGGATTGTGGGGTATCAGACACATCCTCCATCGGCATTCAAACATGTTTTATTAATGCCACTAAAGATGATGCTGTTATAACTAAATCAGTTTTGCGTATTGAGCGATCTGCTTCTTCTAAACCTCTGGAAAAGAAACTTGAGTTCTCTGATGAGAACAAGGAAAATTTGGACAACACAATTGAACAGGCAAAAGATGGACAGAGTGCAGGAAATTACAAACACATTGACGAGCAGGCAAGGGGGGAACGGCGTACTGCAACAAATATAACTACTACTTATGATGATCTGCCAGGCAATTTAGTAAGTACTTCCAGTTTTTGATGATATTTAGCCAGTTAGTATGTGTATCATATTTCGTTGAGGATAAAAGGTAGCACCTGTATAGTTTGTGAGGTGAACCAATCAGAGTGGGTCCAGTAACACAATTAAATTTAGCATTAGGCCAGTCCCAGTGGGTGCCACATAAGCAACAAGGTATTTAATGGATGATTGAAATATCTCTTACAATGCATTGTTTCATTTTTGCTGTTTCATAGGCAATACATGCAAGAGATAAGCTGTATTGGAAACGATGTAGACAGTTTCATCTAGATGACACTCATTTCATCTCTCACTTTATTAATTCTTTGCCACATGCCCACATCATCTAAATTGTTGACATGGAGCCCTATTTAAATGAAACTCCCACTGGGAGTGGCCTTATGCATCTTCAAATAACCAAGTTAATGCCCTGAGTGTAGCAGGTGCTCTTTAGTCTTTAACATGTTAGCATCTATGAAATATGGGGGCTGGGAGACTGGATCAAAATGGAAAATGAATTTTTCCAATGATCTTGTTCTTACCTATATGTTGTTTGATGCAGCAACCTGCAGGTATTCTTATTGAGCACAACGGTGATGATCTTGTTTCCCCAGATTATGGTAAAAACACCATGAACAGAAGCAAAACACAAATATGGAATCTTTGTCAGTCTGTAAGGAGGGAGTGTCTGCTAAAAAGCCTGCGGAACTTATTGTGGAGAAATCTTCAGCATGCATAAATGTGGATTATGAATATGTGAACATGTAAGACCACTAATTTCACATGTTCCTTTGTTGTTTTACAGCAGATTCTTTTGTATAGTAATCTTCTCAGGTTACATGAATATTAAGTCGTTAAGTTTTATGGAAACTGATCTCTAGTGAATGATCATTTCCTCCTTTTCTTGCTATTGCAAGCATCAACCTATTGAATTTGTAGTCCGGCATGCTTCTGAAGACCTAAACTGTGATTAGCTGGTTTTCATGTTCAACCTCATGTCTCTATTTAGATACTTAATCCAGTACAAAATTAAGTTACTACCCATTCTTATCTATGTAACTGAAATATCCATTCAAGAGCTTCCATCATTAGTCAGAAACTGAAAAACATTTTATTATCTAATGTATTATCATAAGCCTTTTAGCCACCATCTTACTGGGATTAGCACATGCTATTTCATCCAGAATGTTGAAGAACACTTGAATCCTACTGACGAATACATTTAAGATACTACAATAGGGAATTAAACTCCGCTTGTCTCCAACTACTGAAGTGTGAAGAGATTACTTGATCCTTGTTCCTTTTAATATGTAATTCTGAATTCTAAAGCCTTGCTATTGTTAGATTGGCTGATACCCCAGGCATCAAAAGAGGACTAGAATCTCCTTCAGCATGGAAGTCCCCTTGGTTTGTAGATATGCAATTTCAGGTACATTTAGCACTTTGTAAAATTTATATATTTGAAATGCAGAGCTCAAGTGTTTGGAACAAGAATATAACTTGGTGGACTATGGCTAAATCTAAGCGGATGGAAATAAATATTATTGAGTCGTGCCTGAGAGTATTTTTTTTCATTAATTACTGATGTTGTCACGCACTGGGGATATTGCTTGCTGTTTACTCTGCTGAACTTCTTGTGGCCATATGTTCCTCCCAGGGTTCATACTTCGTCAGCCCAGCTAATGGAAGTTACGATGCGCTAGGATTGGTGAAGCAGATAAATGTGCAGACTGCTGCTGCTTTGGCAGAAGCCCGTGAGGTGCTGGCAAGTGGTGGCCAATCTGAGAACATAAATTCTGATAAGGAAAACCTGGAGAATCCAGATGCCAAGAAGGAACCAGGAGCAACAACCAAATTGCAAGCAAAAATCAAGGTGCGTATTGAACTGCTTATTTTCATATTCCCGTGTTGTTGAAACAAAAGGTCTTGCGTTGTAACAAAAGGAGGACCCTGGTTTTATTGTTTGTCATTTTAGTAGTTCCTCTTGCGTTAATATTATTTAGCTATGTAGCTCATGCTGTCTGGCAAATCTTGGTTTGTGAGTCCAAAACGGTGGCAGTTGTTTTTCTGTAATCCATCAACTGTAAATGGTTTTGATAGATTTGCATCCACGTTGAGCATAAATTAACATCATTACCCATTCCAGACTGCCAGTGTTTAACTGTATTATTAGCAATGATCATAATATGAATGCATATTTTGCAGACCGAGGGGAAAATCCTGGATTTCAACGAATGTGCCACACCTATAAGATCATCAGATAAAAAAGCTGGCAGCAGTCTGGGAAGATCTTTGAGCTCCCCTATTCCTTCGTCCCATCTCCTGAAAAGTTTTCGATAGGTAGATATATGAGGAATACACCTCAGGTTAGCTGTAACAATCATTATGTGAAACTGTGAATCTTGTTCATTACCGTATTCTTTGTGATTATTACCGTAAAGAAAGCTGCTTCTTGTGACTGCTATCGCCAGCTTACAATTTCAGCCCAGAAGCTAGCTTCCAAAAGGCAGCAGAATACTTGGGCTGTTGAAGCTGTAGTATTTAAATTTAGAAATTTTAATTTATTCCTGTTCAATATTATTTGACATTCCAGGCCTCTTTGTGGATTTGATTCAAAATATCATTTTGCAAGCCCTTTGCAAATTGGAACTACATGGGGCAACCTTAGTGTTGCTTGCTGCAGGTCTTTCACCAGGTAGATAACAGTTGGCTCTCGAGTGAGTCTACTACTCTATACTTTGAATGGCTAGAATTCAGTCTGGTGTCATGCAAAGCTTAAATTTTATACAAATATTTACGCATGTAAATTTTTCAGTAGAAAAAAATATTATCTGCAGGTCCACTAAATGGATTAGCCCTCTGAATGCTTAGAACTTTGGACTGGTTAGTTGAAAACATGAAAATTCATAGCTACAAGAAAGGAATAAGTCTACTTTACTTCCCGTCCTCTTTTGCTCCTTACTGAATAGTCTCCCTCAACTGCAAAATGAATAAGTTCACCTGACGTCCCTCAATTGTACGTAGAATCTGTCTAGGCTCCCCTAATCGTAATACTAGAAATGTGTACCCCTAAACTATGTAAAACTGTCCAAAAAAAAGTCCCGAGACAGTATAGATATTTGGTTTTGTTGATGTAACATCCTAGTTATCAAAAAATAAAATAATAAATATGTGAGGCCCATCTGTAAGTGAGAAGGAAAAATGTGGGCCCACGTGTCAGCATCATCTTCTTCCTTTCTTTTTTCTTCCCAAGCTTGGGAGTGGGGCAGATGGCCGGTGGGAGAAGCGGCCGGGAGAGGGAGGAAGCGGCCGGCAGGGGAGGGAGGGGGAGGTTGCATCAGGCGCCGCTGCCGCCGTTCGCATGCTGCACGCTCGACTCGGTGCGGGGTTAGCGGTGGGCAGAGCAGGGTCAGTCGCGGAGTGTGGCGGAGGCACCACCGTTGGTGGAGGAGATCGAGGGCCGGAGCTCGTGGAGGTGGAGCTTGAGAAGCGTGCGGCGGCTACCGCTTGAGAAGCAAAGCTGGAGCTTGAGACGAGGAAGAAGGAGGGGAGGGCCAGGGCCTACTTCGGCCGCAGCCACTCCGCTCCGCCCCCTTTGCCGACGTCGCCTGCCTTCGTCTCCCCTCTCTCGGCCTACTCCGGCCTCCGCTGCTCTGCTCCGTCGACCACTGATCCCCCCTTTGCCGGCCTACTCAGTTCTCCACCAAATGCCTCCCTCGTCGTCACTGGCGGATGGACTTCATCCTTCTCTCTTGAAATCGATTTCGAGGGCGACGGTGACGAATCCCACCTCACCGACGGCGGCAATGGAGGGGAGGAACATAAGCGTTATGAGGCTCCTGATGCACCATCCTTCTCTCTCGGCATCGACTCGGACAATGACGACGATGAGGAGCGCCGCCGGGAGGAGCAACGATGAAGTTACGAGGCTCCCAACGCGCCCTCCTTCTCCCTCGGTATTAACTCCGATGGTGGCGACGGCGATGAGCCCCGCTTCACCAACGGAGGCCATGAGAAGAACAACCGCGGCGTTACGAGGTGCCCGATGCGCCCCAGCCGCCGCCATGCTCTCCGCCCACTGCTCTCCCTAGGCAGCCAGGCTCGCTGAAAGAGAAGAGAAGAAAGATAATAGAATAGAGAAAAAAGAAAAATATGTGGGCTTAGATTGCCACCCCTATATACTGCCATAGAACCTATTTTGCATGGTTTTAAATATTTGAGAGGTAGACATTTCTGGTATTGAGGATTAGGGATCTTAAACAGACTCGACGTAAAGTTGAGAGACCTCGGGTGAAGTTATTCCACTACAAAACCCGGTATAACACCACCCCTATTTTTGAAAACTGGTGCAAACTATCTCCTTAGTGGTTTAGGAAGCGGTTTCTGTTGATATAGGCAGGTTGATTGTGGTTGACTTGCTGAGTTAGCAGGTGCAACCCACGTGTCAACGACTCTCACCACATTTCATCCTCACCTCTCCACGCCCTCTCTCTCGTCTTCCCTCTTTTCCCGCATGCGCTGACGCCCTCAGCGAGCGCCGCATAGTCACACTTGGCCACCCTCGATGGCAGCTCCTCGGCCTTGTGCGGGACCAAGGTTGCCGAGGACGGTGTGGGCGTCCTCCTCGTGCAGATGGCACGTTGTTTGCGATGCGCCAATGCCGGCCGAAGCCGGCACGACCGACGCTGGAGGAGGTGGAGGCGACGGATGCGCCGGTGGCTGACTGAGAGAGCTAGCGTGCCTCGACGTTGTCGTGCGACTGTGTCGGTCAACCACCGTGCCCAACGAGCTCCCTGTCCATGACATCGCTGACCAATGTTTATGGTCGTTAGCGATCAGTTTCGACTGTCAATATTACCAAAATAGAGGAGAACTAGTTATGCTTGCAATGCATATTTGTGTTAGAAATAATAATACTCCACTAGTATTAGGTTTACTAACCTGTTGTAGAGAATAACCATAAAGTGGAGGAGAATCGGCATCAAACCAGACGATAAATCAATCGGACGATGTCGAGGATTAGACTTATGCATGAATGGGCCAAGAACTCAGAATTGACACAATGAACTGTGGCAAAATTCACAAGTCTGCGTATGAGAGCAGCAGAGAAGGCCACCTGCCGATTTTGGGCTAGGCCGGCCCAACCCATGGTTCGGTCTAACCCACCACGGCACCACTCGATCCAGGGTTCTTCTGGACGGCTGAGATCGACTCCCTATGGCGGTTGGAGGGTATTTCCGACCATTCCAACCGCCACAACTGTCATTCTCAAGCTATAAAAGTAGCTCTCACTCTCACTTCCTCCACACACTCCAAGCAAAGCTCTCTCATATTCTCTCAAGTTTAGTTTAGTAGTCTTATGCTAGTGGAGTAGGAATAGAATAGAAATCGGAGTCCGGAAGCCTTCGGAAGAGATCGGGTATGGCTCTAGTAGCTTTCCTTTCTTCTTTTGTAAGCTTTGTACTTTGTTTAGAATACTCTTCTTTATACATTTCTGGTATTGAAATACTTTTCGAGTATATGAATGCCAACTTTACATTATGTTCATGTTATACTGATTATACTGGTAGCTTATCTGGGAGAAGCATAGGTACGGGTATAATGTTTGCTTATGCAATTACTCTATGTCATGACGATGATATTAGAGTAGTATCTGGTAGTTTAGGCATGGTGTCTAGATTACGAGATATCATTATTTGGGGTTATATGCTGCGGATGAGAGGTGGGCCGCTGATGGTGACAGCTCAGTACGGGTATTCCTCCGCACGTGTATATAGTCCTAAGTTAGTTTCCTGGGAGGGTACTCCTCCGTATTTAGCCCTGGTTGTATGGTCATGGCGGGCTGTCGTAAGAAACTCGACAGTCAGGGGTGGCTTCTCGAAGTACTAGGAGGGCATCGGAAAGAGGGTATTAGCTAGTTAATCATATAAGTGTATGTATACTATGTATATTAGAAGTATAGGAATAGATTCTCTTTCTATTTTCTTTCCACTTAGCTTAGATGTTTTAGTATGTGAATGAGTAGCTCCCTGCTTGTGTGTCACTGTACCCTTTGATTTATCTTAACCCCTGCTTAGACTATGATTATTACAAGTAACATATAAATTATTAGTACGGTTCTCTCTACTATGATCTTCCCACGGGATTACATAAATACGATACCCTTGGAATACTCTTGGGTGAAATGCTACAATGATATATCTGCATGTTTGCGGATGAACTCTGTAACCATAATATACCAGGAGTATTTCTGCGCCATTACTGGAAATTATATTCTAGTAATATCATTAAGAAATATCAACAACCAACTTCCCATCTGGCATGATCGGTGATGGTGAACCTCATGGTGGACATGGCGGCACTGCTCGTAGTCCGAGATGCGGTGGGACCGCGGCTGTTGTGGGTGGCGGGGACGTCATACTCCCCATGTGGATGGCACGGCGTCCATGGTGGAAGTAGCAACGTTTGACATGGTAGATGGGTTGGTCAAGGAGGTGATGCCGTGACGCCGATCGATGTCGGCATGGCCAGCGGTGGAGGAGGTGGAGGCGGCAGAGGCGTTGGCGCTAGCGGCTGACTGAGAGGAGCGGTCGTGCCTCGTCGCTGTCACGCGGTTGCACCGGTCACCCGCTCTACCCGACGAGCACCATTCCCATTACACATGACCAGATCCCCGTGCTGTGTGCTCGGTGGTGGTGGTGCGATGCAGGACCTTACGGTGAACACAACAGTGGTTGCTGTGGGCGTCCTCCTCCCCGTGCGGATGTCGCAGCGGTTGGATCGGAGGCGCTTGCGTTAGCCGTCGACCGAGAGGAGCGGGCGTGTCTCGAGAAGCTTCTCGTCTCTGACTTCGTCGGTGCCGAATCCCTCTTCTCACTCTTCCATGGCGGCAGTGGCTCTCCTCACTGCTCCACGGCGGCAGTGGCACTATGCATGCTTATGTTTCACGTCACAGGGCGTGAAGGGCCGACGGCGACATGTGACATGGAGGGCCAGCGACACAGATGAAGGGGCAATGAGGGAGGTTGTGGTTTTGCGGTTGAGAGATGTGATTGGACCAAGGGAAATATTTAAGGGATGCAAAATAGACTTATTTCCAACAAGAAAATGTGGTGCCCTAGCCCTAGTGCATGGGGAAAGATGGAGGTAGCGGTTGAGCCTACCTTATCGTGGGCTTGAAGTCTTTGCGGAGTAGGTCTTGGTTCGTTGTCCCGGTAACTTCAGGCCATAATAGGCCTTAATGCTTCGTGTAGTTGAGCTTTGGTACTTTGGCCCATATGTAGGTTGTTGGTTGTGGTGGGCTAAAGAGGGTTTGGGAAGCCAATCGCTTGCCACTGACTTGAATTCAGCCAGGAGAGGAGAGGAGAGGAGAGGAGAGGAGAGGAAAGGACGAGACAACGCTACTGGTTGGAGTGAGCTTAGGGAAGGGATTGGGTGGGAGCATGGCCGACACTATGGTATAGTGGTAGGCTAGGCAATTAGTGACATATGCTCATCAATTGGGCCTAACTGGCTGGAAAACATGAACATGATCAATGACATTCGCAAACACGGAATGATTAGAAACGTGTTAAAATCTTTCTAAATGGAGTTTCCCGTAGTTATCCACTATGATATTTAAGTGAGTTCCCATGGATAGTGGTCACTCTTGCACGTTCTCTCCCATAAACCCTGAAACATTCAATCCTACGAAACCGTGGAAGAAGATTCCATGGTGATCAGACTCTTGTCCCATGTAGGTAGTGACATTGGGAGGAACACCGATCACTAGAATGCCTTCGGCATCATTGATCTGTAGTAGCGAAGGACATCAATCAACCGCAACCCCTTCGGCCCCACGGAGGACAATCACCTGCAACATCTTTGCTTCAAGCAGACGATATCATGTTCGAGGTACCTCAAGTACACAGGTAGCTAAGAACATCAACATCTCATGAGCCAGAAGAACAGAGGAAGACGATACCCTTGTGGCTCCAATTGACACCGGCCAGTGCACCAAATTCCACATTAGATTATCTTGGTGATCATGTGTTAGGCTAAGCATCCTTTTGATGTAAGATTAGAACTTACAATTACAAGTAAGAACATTAACAACCATGTTCAGTTGGAACAAGAACAAATCTTGCTACAACAATTACATATACATTCCCTAAAAATCCTACTTACATGCAACTGTTTCCATATTAATTTTACAACAATTTACGTGATCAGAGAGAGAACGGATCCTTGGGAGCACGGTAAATGCTGGGCGACTCTGGAGAGCATTAGCGGCATCATGGAACACACCCTTGACTAGTGCAGACTTGCCATTCATTGATTCAGATCCTGCAGAAGCAACAGCTGTTGATGCTGTCAATACTCGTATTTCCTCGAGGTACAAGAGGTGTTTAAGTCCAACAGGTGTGGCCTCATCCCATTCCCATGGATCAAGTGCTAATAGCAGCCTCTTGAGCTGGGGCATAGCACCTACCCCAAACTCTAGGTGTGACATCCTATTAGAGTCAAAACAGAAAAACCGGAGAGCAGCGAATCCTATGGAGCCTTCTATCATGATCCTGCTTTCCTTCACCGCGATATTGCATGTAACAATACGTAGGCTTAGATGGGTGAGGAAGGGTAGCATTGTGCCGATCATACTAACATCTTCCTGGAGTATCTTCTTGCCCCCAAGTGCCAACTCACGGAGGCTATGGAGTTGGCCAATCCATCTAGGAACTTTGGAGAATGTCCAATCTAGCAGATCAAGCTTCTCAAGGTTGAGAAATGGAGGTGAAAACCAGCTGCTCATCGCATCGGCGCAACAGCTAGGACTATTAGACCTCACATAAAGACCTTTGAGATTACCGAGTTTCTCGATGGAACAACTCAGAGCAGTCATCCATCCTGGAGTAGTAGATTTTGTGTCTTGTTTGCCACAATGGAGTGACATATCTGCTAGACTAGTGAGCTCACCCAGGGCATCAATATTTTCCAATGAGCTTACTGGTAGATTAAAGCCATGCAAAGTGCGCAATGACTTCAATTTTCTAATCCCATCCGGTAATCCCCCCTTATGCTGTCGCAACACTAGATGGGTCAAGCGCGGCAAATCAATGATGCCTGATATTGATGGGATGCTGCATTTTGATACCCAGGGTAACTCCAAGGTTTCCAAATGTTGTAGCCTTCGGATTTGACTTGGTAACACTATGGAAACTTGTGATGGTATGTCACCATCCATTAGGCATTCCTTGCATTCAACCTTTAAATATCTCAGCTGGGACAGTTGGTTGATACCAGTGAGGTCAATTATCATCTCTCGTAGAAAGAATTCAAGGAATAACACCCGCAGAAACTTAAACTCCAACAAAGGAGGTATCCACTTTGATCCTCCAAATACACCAAGAGAACGAACTTGTGACACTTTCCTAGTAATGTTCATATCCATTGTGTCACCCATGGCACCATTCAAGTCAATGGTGAGCCGACGAATCTTGTCTTGAACTTCTATCGCCGCTCGTGGATCTTGTATCACACTGATGAAATTATCTTCCTTGCACCTCATTAGAATCATGTCTAGCATCATATCATGAACCTTGCAATGAGATACTTCATTGTAGTAGCCCTGATATGGAAGTTGAATCATGCTTCTATTCACCAGCTCATTGAAATAGCTCTCTGCAACAACCCATGCATCTTGCCCAGGAGAGTGACTCACAAAACCTTCTGCTACCCACCTTTTAATAAGATCAACCTTGCTAATCACACAATCCTCTGGGTAAGCACCAAGATAAAGAAAGCATGCTTTGAGATGATGTGGCAGACTCTTGTAGCTGAGCTCCAAGATTTGCATCATGTCTTCCAAGGTGGACTTCCTTGCAAATTTGTTAGTGGCTAGAGAACTTTGAATGTACTCCCATTCCTCCTTCAGTCTTGTGGGTTGGCAAGCTAAAATACTAGCTACAGTAACAATTGCAAGCGGTAGGCCACCACACTTCTTCAGTATTTTACATGAGACTTCTTCCAAGTAAGAGGGACAATAATCTTTAGACCCAAATATTCTGTTGAAGAATAGTTCTCTTGAGTTTTGGGCACTTAGGGGCTTCATATTGTTAATGCTTCCATGGTCACTGGAACATGTCCTAGCCACATCCCCGTGTCTTGTAGTTATTATAACTCTGCTATGTTGATTATTTTGTGGAAAAGCACATGTAATAATATTCCATGAAGGAACATCCCACAAATCATCAACTACAATGAAGTACCTACAAAAACATTTCACGTGCGGTACATATTAAATTGCAAGGAATAATTAAACACTCGCTTTTAAATAGATTTAGCAAAATCAAAGCTCGTGCAATTGGAAACTAGATTCTATTTCCTCTGTCCATAAATATAAAAATTCCCAGATTTTGAAATTTATCTACAAATATAAGCATTCTACTATGTATCCCATCAATCATCTCAATCAATTTTCACCATCTTTAACCTCAAACACCCTCCCACTCCAATCCATCCCTCATTTAAGAGGAATACTAAACTCTATTATCCTTTACTTTAATATTTGCTAAACAACCTAGAAATCCTTATTTTTTTTGGATGGAGAGGAGTACATTATATTCATCTTTATATTTGAAGCGAATACTTGTATTAAATATGCAACTATTTTTCAAATATACAAATGTACAGTATGTAGGAAATAATTGAGCAATTAATTAATTCGAGCTTTACCTTATTGATGGACAGAAAAACCATCAAAGTCAAATGTGACCATATAAATACATAGACACTAAAATCATCAATTAATATCTTTAAATGTATTTCTACCATTCAAAATGTGCACCAAAAATTTGTGTTTCTAGCAAGGTAGGACCCAACTAGTTAATTTGAGAATGCTAATTAGGTGGACTAATTGGCTGAACCTTTTCTTTTTATTTGCATGCATGGTGAATTGAGAGTGATGTTGAGTCATTAGAAACAACATTAAACAGGGGTACAACGGTAATTTGTGTTGAGTACTAATCTATCTGAAATTTGCTAGTTTTTTTGGATGGAGGTAGTAGCATGAATGTGCACCATTTATAGATGATCCTTAGTAAGTAAAATTTAATTTCATTTGTGTCCTCTGTTCCTAAAACTAGTCAAATTAAGTATGTGTTAACGGGTCTTAAATTTTTTGAAACAAGAAATCCAAGCTTTTGTGGAAATCTAAAGGTGTGCACGCATATTTTGACCTAATACTTAGGAGGAAAAGAAATTAATTTCCTAGAAGTTTTATTATTTAGTTAAAGAAAGAACTAGTATGATAAGACGTTAATTTATTCCTAGAAACTGAATAAATAATGTGAATATCTACCTTTTATCCATTAGATATTCCCTGAGATTGTCGATGAGTTCTTGCACCCCACAAGCATGAGAGGGATGTTGCTTGAGTTGTAACAGCAAACTTGTGAGTAGCCTTACCATGTCTGGTTTTTGAGAAACAGATACAAATGCCTTACAGTTGAACTGCACTCCAACTTCACGATACACCTGACTAGCTAGGGTGGTCTTGCCTAGGCCTCCAAATCCAACTATTGACATAACCTTCAATTGCGTCTCTTCGTCCATCACCAATTTAGTGAGCTCTCTCTTTGGGCTGTCAATGCCTACAAGGCCGGCTGTCTCCTTATAGAATGCCGAGATGCGAGGGTCAACTGTCACTGAGGTAGTATTAGAGATGTAATGTCCAACCTTGTACCTCTTACGCCGCTCGTTTATCTCCTGTAGACGAGTCTTGAGCTCTTTGATTTGCCAGGCAGCCTCAAGATGAGCCCTGCAAGTCTTGAGAAATTGGGAAGCCTTGTAGAGGAACCCCGTCTTAGCGTCTACGCTTGTGATGTTGTTACTGAAATCATCGATGCAGTCCTCGATGTCGTAGGTCATCTCCCTCACTTGGTTCCTCCAATTTTTCGCCTCCGAATCGAGTTCTTCGGCATCATCCAGCTTCTCCAGGAGAGCACTCATGGCAGGCAGCTCATCCCTGAGGAACAAAATGTCCCTGCTGGACACGCCTATGAGGTTGGCACACATGTCCCCTCCCATCAGCTCTCTGAGCTTTGCAAGAACAGAGTCAATCACCCCCTTGTATGCGCTCACCACCATCGTCGACATGCCTCTCTTTGGTCCTGCAAATAGCCAAATTAAGGTGTTTATTTATTAGAGTTTTAAAATGGTGCTTATTTTTTAGGAGAAATTTAGGCGGTTAATATAATAATTAGTAACCGACTTGTGTTGGGTTAGTTGTACACTTACCACCGGTGCTTCCTCAATGAAGCTTAGATTTCTGACCAGTGAGAGTAGCCTCGACCGAGCAACAGATGAACCCAAATAACAATAGCTAGTAGTAATGAAGCATGGATCAAGAGAAACATAAGAATTAAAGAATTAGCCAGCATTCTAAATGGAAACTGATAGATTATTTATTTAATTATGAAAGAATTAAATCCTACATGCTACAACCTGTTAACAAATACTAAGGCTGAGATTAACACGTAATTAATTAAGTATTAGCAAAAAAAATAAAAAATAAATTAATATGATTTTTTAAAGCAACTTCAGAAAACTTTTACCAAGAACGTACCATTAGCAGTTTGAAAAGCTTACATGGAAGAAAAAGATAGTTGAGTTGGGAAAGAAGGGGAATAACACAACCTAAGTGCTTACAAGAAATGGCCTAAGCAATACAGTAGAAAAAAAGTAGTACTTTTTAGAGGTGTGGAGGAAGAAACCAGCAGCCCACAGGCCAGAGAGCTACGTACCTGCCCTGCCCTTGCACCGTTTGAACTTTGAAGGCAATGTGCACCCAAAGCTTTTAATTCACGAATGAAGGCAGGCAAAGGGAGGCACCCAAAGCCATCGATCATCGGTGTCATATATATATAGAGTGTTCTGAAAAAATAAAGTCAAAAATTAAGTCTGACATTGTTGACAGGGTATATGCGGACGGATGCATGGTGTGGACAGCTCTTAATTAGCTAGAGTCTTCTTTTGTAGGCGTACGCACGATGTCCGGACGATTATATTAATTACCCTCAATTATTTCTTTTTGTAGTCCAAATTATTTTCTATAAATAATGGGAATTACAGCAAGAACGTTGCATTAATTATTGAGAGGAATAAGTCCATATACTCCATAAATTTTGGATGAAAATCTACCTAGTACACTGAACGTACGTTAGAACTGGACATCCAATCTCTAAACTTTATAGTATTGTTTATATTACACCTTAAGTTGGTTTTGAACGGCGGTTTTGTGGATTTGGACACTTAAACGGACGGTTTTAAATAATGAATATAACATATTTATTTACACATAGTCAATCCTCGATTCTCAATTTATGCTTACAGTGATGTTATTCTAGTATTATATTGATATTAAGAGAGAGCAAACATATGACTAAACAGAAATATTTAGGTAGAGATTTTAACATATATCTAATGCATATGTCAAATAGTCAAATTGATCCAACATAATTGGGTTTCTTGTGGCGCAACATACTTATGTGGGTTGAAGTACTAGATTTGGCATGCGTGCTAGTATTTATGCGATTTATTCATTCAATGGTTTGTGACGTGGCCGCTGACACAAACAACTGCGTGGTTACTTTATCAATATCAAGATATATTAACCTAGTCTTTTGGAGTTGCTCATAAGGGTAGGGTACAGTGTACGTGTGTACTTACAGGGAAAGTGCGCATCTCTTATTAGTGAATGCATTTGTACTTTATTTCTGAAAAGAATTAAATAAAAACCACTTTGTAAAATCATCTTAAGGTCATATGAATGATTACAATTTAGGTAAGATGGACTTTTATTAAAGTTTTAAGGGTATTTAGACTTTTTCTTTATTAAGACAATAAGGCAATAATCAATTACTCTTTTGACTAACTAGATCGGGTGTATATATATACAATTATTGAAGACCAATTATACAGGAAGATCGCGACGCGAGTTGGTGTTCGTTGTATTTAGTATGTAACTATTTCTCCTGTTGGATGCCTTGATGAATGTGATTGATTTGTTGATTAAAGCATTATTAAACAACGTACATGCATGCACATGGAGTGTCGACATGGATTAATATATATAGTTAGTGTAACGTTTACTCCCTCCGTTTCACAATGTAAACTTTTTAGCATTGTTCATATTCATATAGATGCTAATGAATCTATATATATTCTACTCCCTTCGTTTTTTAATAGATGACGCTGTTGACTTTTTCTCATATGTTTGACCATTCGTCTTATTCAAAAATTTTATGCAAATGTATATATCATAAACCACACTTAAAGTACTATGAGTGATAAAACAACTCATAACAAAATAAATTATAATTACGTAAATTTTTTAAATAAGACGAATGGTCAAACATGTGAGAAAAAGTCAACGGCGTCATCTATTAAAAAACGGAGGTAGTATATAACTACACATTTTCACCAGGGGACCACCTAGCTGCTTGCGATCATGGGTCAGTGACAATAGATGATGATCATCGCAGGGAGACCTCACCCGCTTACCAAAATCAGTTTCACTGGTGGCTAGGTTATACGGACGACTAGCAAAAATATTTTTGGCAATTTTGTTTTTCATTTTCAGAACCGACCACCAGAAAAAATATTTTTTTGGTAAAATATATATATATTTTTAGAACCAACCAAACCAGATTCACAGTCCAGATCAGTTTGTCTCTAGTCCCACAATCATAAATCCAAATCGAACACCACATCCCACAATCACAGATTCTATGAATTTGCATCTAATCCCACAATAACAAATCCACAAATTAAACATCACATCCTCCAATCCCACAACCACAAATTCAAGAAATCACAAATAACAAACCATAAAATGTATCACACTAAGATAAAAAAATCGACCACCTCAACGCACTCTTTGACGCCGGCGTCGAGCTCCTCTTGCCGGTGCGGAGGGGCGATGTCGATGTCGCTGATTAGTTGTCCTTGCTGTGGCCGACATGCCGCAGGACCCGCACACGCAAGCCTCGTCCGTAGACATAGTCGTGCCCGAGCTCTACCAGCCCGCTCGCCACCGCGAGCCTCCCTGCCACTGGATCCGCCGCCGTCTGAGCTTCATTGCCCGCCCACACGCGCAGCCATGCTCCACCGGCCCACCCACGAGCCTCTCCGCCGCTGGATCCGCCACCCAAGTACCTCCCTACTGCTGGATCGGATGCCCGCATGCCTCCCACCGCCGGATCCATAGCCGCGTGCCTTCCTGCTCCCGGATCCGCCGCCTGCGCACCTCCCACCGCCGGATCCACCGCCTGGATGCCTCCTCACTGCCACATCCATTGCCCACGTCCCGCCCCACTGTCGGATCCGCCGTGAACAAACCTCTCGTTTCCATCATTGTCGTCGTCATCACCACGGCTGCCATCACCATCTCCGAGAGCACCGAGGAGAAGCTGAAGAAAGGAGGGTAAGGGAGAGGAAGGAGGAGAGGCGAGGGAGCGGAGATAGGGCGGAGAGGAGAGGGAGGGTTTGGTGGGTGTTGGGCAGTGGATGTGCAACTTTTAAAACCATGAATCTTTTTCACAACGGTGCTCTTTATCTACCCTTTTTTGGTGGCGGACACTTAAGAGGTCCACCTAAAAAAATAGAGTTATTTTTTATGGCGGACCTCCTAAGTGCACGTCATGGGAAGTTGGTTTTTGCTGTCGTCTCGTGACTTAGAATCCTCCAATAAATTTTCCAAGCATTTGTTTTGTTATTCCGCCAGTAAAAATAAAAGGGTGATGCCTGCCATATAGTTTCTATATATACTTTTTTTCTTTTCTTATATATGTGTGAGAGAGGTATTAGGGTTATTTATGATGTTGATTAGATTTAGTCATGTGGCTTCCTAAATAGCTCTAAGGATGAGTCTGAACTAAAATAAAAATTTTAAGGACTAATATGGAAGGTAGAATTGAAAAGTTAAGGATCAAACTGAGATGTAGGTGAAATTTGGAGGACTAGTTTGACTATCCACCCTATTATAAATGTATAACATTTAAATTGACATGGTTTACAAGGTGGCATCTTGACTAGCACTAGTACCTGTTAAAATAGTCGAAATAGTTCTTTTAATACCATCAAACCATGACCCAATACATGTGTGATATTCTATAGGCGAAGTGATGTCCAATGTGAACAGATCTGTGTGAATTTAGTTACATCGCATTCAAAGAATAAATGACGAAAGGCTAATTTGGACATATTTGGAACCTGTTAGCAGCCGCCTAGAGGGATTATTTGACCAAAAATAGTATAAGTGAGTACTATTTTACATTAGAATCACAGATTGATGGAGACGTATCTGACGTAGTAGAGTGAGTAGATGATCTGGAAGGATTGACCGGAAACCTTGGTATTTAATTAATAACTGCAACCTTGTATAGGTCGACTGACGACAGAATGTAACCGCCATTTTCCATCGTCTCCAAGTGTTTGCATTGCACTAGTTGCAGTCTCTTTGGTTTTTCTTTGACTGATAATCCCCCGTCATCTGTTCAAAAATATAAATGCTTTATAGGTTCTTGAACTAATATTTCAATTATTTTCATCATTTCAATGATTTAAAAGCCAATCAATTAGTTAGAAAGAAATCTTTTTACTAAAGAGGAATTAACCTTAATATTTACTAAAAATTAAAAATCCTAAAATAGATCGAGGGAGTAGCTAGTTAACACTACGAATCTAAACATAACCCTATCCAGATACGTAGTGTTAGGTAGCTATATTTCTAGACATTGTCACGGAGGAGTATTATAGAGTAGAGCTTTGATTTGGCTTTATTTTTTAAATAATTAGACATGTACAAGGTCTTTATCGTTTGCTTGTACTGATGCCCATAGCCGCCGGGCCTTACTACATTAAATTCAACCTTAATTTAAACATCTCATTTCAGCAGTCACCAATGACTCGGTAGCTCTAGCATCAGTCAAGTCCATCGAATTGTGACGATGATGATCCTAGAAAGTAAGACAAGCCCCTTATGTTTGGAACACGACAACTTAGGGTGTGTGTTTGACGGAAAAAAAAGACAATTTAACACTTATTTCGTTGCTCAATTGCTGTAATTGATACTTGTCAGGATGAGATGTGTGACCATCGGAGTGAATGAAAAGTGAGAGAACTATGAAGATATGCAGAATGAGAAGAGTCATTAGCGTACGATTAATTAAGTATTAATTATTTTAAATTAAAAAAAATGGAGTAATTAATTCTCCATAACAACAATCTCTAAGGTAGAATTTCCTTTTAAAAACACAACGATTTGTAGCTCGAAAAACGTTTTTTTAGATAATGGAAATGGGTTACATCTCCAGCCTCTGCTCGTAGGCACACAGCCAAAAAATTCAGACGTGAACAGAAAAGTTAAAAAAGGCGAGCTGGGACAAACCCCCAACTTCTGCCGATGATATGATCTACTAAAATAATTTTTTTTTTCAAAATCACGTAGATTCTATCACGAAATTCTGTAGGTACTACGCCATCCAAACTGGAATAAAAGTTCCTTGGCTACTAATTCCAAGCGTGTAGCACCATTGCGCATAGTATCCTGTTGTTCCTGTGAAAGCATCATACACCAAGAGTGGAGCCAATTGGAATACATGAAGATAACCTGCATGATGTTAGGCATTTTTTATGGTTAAAAACTATATCATTACGACAACGCCAAATTGACCAACATAAATCACTAGCTCCAAACAAAATTATTTTTTTTGTGCGTCTAGGCACTCCCCTTAGCCAGTCACCAAAAATATCTTTTGCATTGTGGGGAGGGGGGATGTTGAAGGCAAAGAAGACACATTGCCAAGCAAAACGTGCAACATGACAGTCAAAG